ACACATATATATATACACACACATATATATATATACACACACACATATATATATATACACACACACACATATATATACACACACACATATATATATATACACACACACACACATATATATATACACACACACACATATATATACACACACACACACATACATATATATATATACACACACATATATATATATACACACACACACATATATATATACACACACATATATATATATACACACACACACACATATATATATACACACACACACATATATATACACATATATATATATATATACACACACACACATATATATATACACACACACACACATATATATACACACACACATATATATATATACACACACACACATATATATACACACACACACATATATATATACACACACACACATATATATACACACACACACACACATATATATACACACACATACACATATATACACACACACACACACACACACACATATATATATATATATATATATATATCTTATATATAAGTACAGTGTATGTGTGTTTGTGCGTGTGTGTGTGTCCAAGCAACTCCTCTGCTCACACTGGTCTGATTTTAATGATTCATAACTCATTCAAAAGCCCTAGATTTTTGTTGAGCTCAGATTCAGGGTTGCCAGATTATGCGAGGTTAAAAATATATATTAATATATTATACTAGCCATTATCATTGCTTTCATTGTTCAATGGGAGTAACTCTTATTTTCCTTTTGTATCCAAAATGCAAAATTGCAATGCACATTTTATTATAAACTAGCTTAAAAGCCACCTTTCTGGGCAGCATTTAAGCAAGCTCATATGGAGCACTATTGGTTTGACCATCATCACAATAGCTAGGGAGGAATAAATGCAATAGGCATCAATAAACTACAGATGAACTCAAAATTGATCGCTGCATTTAAGTATTAAATTAATGTTTGAGATTACCATTTAAAAGTTCAATGATAATTCTTCTTCTGCCACTTTATTTAAAGATTATTTGATGTACGTAGATCCTTACTTTCCATACAAACAATTATTTTTATTTCATGGGTGACAAAACAGGAGACAATTATAGGATAAACTTAATATAGTTTAAAGATGGGAAAATAGAAATTAGAATTAGTTATACATTCAACATTTGAAGAATTAGAGAAACATAACAGCTAATTAAGTAAAACCTATATTATGGAATCTATATTAATGAATGCAAAATTGATTTTTTAATGTATTCTGGGGTTAAAAATCCCAAACTCTACTTTATAGCAATTTGGTATTTACTCGAAAGCTCATACCAACCCCGACCCTGCCTATAAAATATTAAAACTGATCTATAAAAAGAGATCAATGTATTTATTATTACAGAGCAAAAAATTAAAACACAAAATCTAAAAACACTTTATATGGTGAATAAGCTTATTTCAGCAGACAAAAATATAACTCATCTGTCTTATCAAATCTGGAATGGAGTGAGTTCATCTCAGAAATAGAAATTTAACTGCGGAAAAAAAAAAAAAACATCAAAAAAATAATCCAGAATTTATCCATTTCAATGTTTCAGTCAGACAAAAGGCATGAGACAGCAATCAGGGGAGAGTGGAAGGTATTAGCCTTAAAAGGAAGAGGTTTTTATAAAATTAAACCCACATATTAACCTGATGACATTAAATTGGAGTTATATGAAGAATGAAATATTAATTTAAAACTAAGAGAGGAATAAAAAGGGGTTTAAAAATAACATTTAAAATATATAGATAAAGTTATATTTAAAACTTCAATGTCATATTTAACAATACAAAGTTATATTTAAAAATAAGTTATATTTTAAATATGTTATGTTTAAACATATATATATATATATATATATATATATATATATAAATATGAGAATGGAAAACAATATTCAAGTAAAGAAACTCTCTGAGAGGCAATAACAACTGCTGCAAGTAATTTTAAAGTCAAAACTGTAGAAGATTTTGTAAAATCAAAGTAATAAAATATGATAAATGTTATAGAACACAAATATATTAACTTCATTAGGTTGAATTTCCAACATGGTGGTTTTAGTTGCTTTCTATAGATCTGCTTTACTGTCATTATTTGCCATATGTCTATGTACATAAGGCTCAACTAAATGAAATTAAATATATATAAACATTGTTGGAAGCAGTGATATTTTACTGTATAAAATGTTGGTTAAAAAGATATCTATGTGTGCATGTGTGTTTGTGTGTGTGTGTGTGTGTGTGTAAGCATCTATCTGTATTGGTCTATTCATATCTACCTATCTATCCATTCACAATTGCATATGCGTATTTTCATATCTAGCTAGAAATCTTGTCATTAAATTTTCTGTTTAATATTTATATGATATATGCATAGATATGTACATACACACTCCAGTATGTATGCATGTATGTATGTGTGTGTGTCTATACCCCAGAGTATTTTTCTGCATGAATTCAGCAGACCATGTCTACGTTTGTTTAACACATGTGAAATATTTGTTTGTAGAATTGCTTCCACATGGATTCACTAAAGGGGAAAAAAGAGTAGAGAAAAATATTTGAATCATGTACAAACACACAAACACACACACTAAATGGACATACTTCAAAATTTAAAACATGTGTATAATGTATATCTGAATGTGGCATGCTTCTTTAAGAAGTAAAAACACAAGTAAAAATACCTAGTTGGTATTAATCGTACAGTAATATAAAACAAAATAGAAAAGACTTCTTTAAGAAGAAATACTAAGAGGAAGCCTAAACTGAAAAGTATAAAGATTATTTTTTAAATCAACGCATATTTCATTAGAGTTTTATTTTCAAACAAAAGTTACAGATTTGTGTATGTCTCAACTTTCTTGCATATTTTTTTTTTTTTGTCTAGTCAGTATCACTCTACATAAGGCAGTAAAGCCACTAAGACAAAAGGGGTTACAGGGTGTGGAAGAATTAGAAACAAAAGCATTAATGAGTGGGAAGAGGAAAAGTAATCAGGAGGTCAGTAGATAGCAACTGACATTACATCTAAATTTTTGCAGATTAAAGTTGGCTGGAAAGTATTGAGCAGGAAGGGAGTTCCACAAGCGAGAAGTGTGAGAAAAGAAACTGTTAGCAAAGAATTTATGGTTACATCTAGCCAGCTTAATTGTAAATTGTTGAGATTTCAATACCAGTCTAGTATTGTGCTTAAATTCAAAACGTCTAGGTACCATAATGAAGAGCTCATCCGAACAATTACCATGAAAATATTTATAGAAAAGGCACAGGGAAGCAACTTTATAACAGAAAATATATATATATAAGAAAATGACTGAAGCTAAAACACCAGGCCTTGACCAATAATATTTCTGATTCTTCTTTGGATTTTATCAAGATTCTCTAAATAAATAGAAGGAGCCCTGGACAATATGGGCAAATAGGAGACTTAAAGATATGTAAGGTAGTTTCTGGAGAGAAAAATTGTCTTGCATGACACAGTGAACCATATTACTTAGCAGCTTACCTAGCAATGGATTTAATGTAGTCTTTCCACTTTATGTCAGCCGAGAATGTTAGTCCAAGAAGGTATAATGGGACACTTTCCTGGAGGTTAGTATCAGCCATGCTTTTCAAATCCAGTGATAGTCTTGACCCTCATAATTTTGTAACATATATATGATATTGTAGGACTGTGGTGACATACAGTAGTATACTAGTAGTTGACTAGTGCTCAATAAATTATTGATTAAAAAAAAATATAGTAGTCATGAGTTAAAAAGTTAATATTTGATTTGGATGCCGAATTTAAAGTGGCTTTTTAATGAGCTAATTATTTTGGAAAATATTTTAGCTTCTAAAATATCATATTTTCTAAAGAGCTTTTGAAAGATGAAAAAAAAACAGTATTAATAATGTTTATTCTGTGTCAGAAGAGCATGATGTGTCAGGAAGTTAGGTTGATTAAAAAGGCTTCATGATCACTTGTTTTTAATAACCATTCCTTTCAAAATTCTTAGATTTTGCAGAAACAAATCAAGTATAATATTTATAAAATTTTATCTATCAAAAGATTTAAAAATACAAACAGCATCATGAATATAGTAAAGAAATCTATTCAAAGAAGGAGACTAATCCCAATCATCACTCTCCACAACATCCTACCCCTTGTAGTTCTAAGCAATGTTATAATAACAATCAACAGATTTCTATGCTTGCTTGATTCTGACATCTCCAATTTATAGCTCACATCTTGGACTGTCCCAAGAGTAATGACCCATAGTCCTTTCTTCTAACTTTCCTTTAACAGATTTTATTAATAAAGTCCTTAGAACATGTTAGAAATTTACATCATTATCATAATGTATATGGGATAGATGATGCATATCCCTCAGGTCAAAGTTCAATATTCCAAAATACAAAAGGCTTTTGAGTATCCAGCAAAAAACAACAAAGTAAATAAAAAATATATGCAATGATTCATTTTCCTTCTGAAGAAAGAATAAAAAACAAGTTCTGTTTAGAAACCTTTAACAGGAAATTAGCATCATTTAACAAATTCATTTTGCAATTCTTGTTATTTCTTGACTGTTTTGTGATGCTTAAAAATTAGTCTTAATCAGAAAGAAACAATAATGATTATTGTAATGGTCATAAAACAATAAAGATACTGTTGTGTGCAGCAGAGATGGGTGACTAGATTTGTTAAAGAGTATAAATTGATTGATTGGTTTTTTATTGTTTATCAACCTTTTACAATTTATTTAAAGCCAGAAAATATTTTTAATTTGTAAGAATTTTTTGAAGACAATAATGATTAACTCATACAGGTGCTACTAATTAACCCATAGCTTAAGGAGAAGAAATGAATTCATACCTTTCCCAAGGCTATTTGTGTATAAGTAAATATAACAAAGTGACTAGAATTGAAACCTTGTTCTCCAAATTCCAATTCCAAGCTGTTTTCCATTTCACTACTTGTCCATCCAAGCTCACAGCACCTGGTATTTCCAAGTGATCACCCACCTAGATAGTAACCAAGCTTGACATTGCTTAACTTTGGTGATTGCACAAGAACCAGTGTTTCAACATGATATGGCCATCAGCTGAAGTGTATAAAGATGGTCATGGATCAAGAATACGGTTAAAACAAAGATGGCGGAAGGTCTGGAGAGAGAAAGCAAAATTAGCCTTGAAAACAAAAATAGTCTTGGTTATAGTCAGCAAAAAGAACTAGTGACACTTAGCTGAAAAATCAAACTAAAATTCTGTGTGAAAATGATGACTGTTTAGAATCTGACTTTAATTACAGCCTTCAGAAAATGCCAATTCCAATTTTCTTAAAATGTAATGGGGAATCACTATCTGGGAATGTATTCAATCCATTAACATTGAATGTTTAGCGAGGTAGTAATAAATAGGATATATTTGTTTACATGTTCATTTAAGATGGGTTTCAACTCAATTTATCATGGACCTTTTGAAAAACACTTGTATTACCACAATCTAGAATATGCATCATACAATGTCCTGCTATTCTCTCTTGAAATACAATTCTGTCTGGGAAATTGTTCTCTGGTGTTCAGGTGATATTAATATGTTTCTGCTTGTACCTGTTAGCTCATGTTATAAAGAAAATCCTTGACAGACTAATTAGAGAATAATTTCAACAGTAACTTCTGATTGTAATGCATAAAGTGGATTTCACTAAAAAAAATAATAACAAAACCTATTGGCCACAAATAGGTTTTTGATACCATGCAGTTGTCATAGATTTAGTGCAGTCTGATTTAATCTTTTGAATATAATGTTTTATGTTTTGTGATTCATTAAGGTTGTTATGTTATACAGATTTCTTTTGGGTCAGCAAAAGAATTTGCTAATCTGAATGAAGAGACAAAAAAAATGAACAAATTATTTACTAAAAAGGAGGTTACCATTATTTACATTGTTCGGACTATTGTCTTCATCTTTATTGTCATGTTCACAAAATTTGGCCATTGTACACTCAATTGGAATTTCCAACTCAACTCTTTATTTTGTCCACCAGCATAGATTGTTCACAATATGCCATACTTTTTCCAGATGTCCCAGTTACCTCCCTTTGACTCAACTCTCCTAGTTTTTGTTCACCACTGCAGTAGCCAGGTATTGAACTCACAACTCTTTGGGTCAAGTTACTGGAACCAACCGACACTTTTATCCACTGGGTGATGTGTCCTTGAGGATATCAGTGTATGAATTTTTGAGACTTATAAAACTAATGTCTTATTAACTATTTTTTTTTACCAGAGCTCATATTGCAATTTTTGTTGTTATTATTCCTTTCTTCTAGCACTCCTTGTTACTGGTTCTCATATTGTATTCATTTCTATTCTTGGTTGGCTTAAAAGTTTTTTGTTGCCAAGCATATGTGTTGATTCCTTAAATTTTCATATTTTCCAGTGATGTTCTCTGTCTATTATTTTAACTTCATCCCACAGGGGATGGTGCCCTCCTTTTTCCTCTCATTTGTAGTCAGCTACACCTGATTTTTCTATGTTATGGCTTTATGATGTTCTTGCAGTCTTACCTTAAGCAGGCAGCCTATGTCACCTATATATTTCTTACCACAGCTGCACAGGCTGGCATACACACACAGTCCTTAGTCATGTTCTCCTCTGTGTGTGCGATGGGGTCTTACTCAGAAGAGGTGTCTGCGAAGTATCAAACCACTTTTGAAGGTTGTCCTGATGTTATATGGACCACAGATGTTTTGTATTTTTTCTGATCATCCCTTTACATAGGGTGTATTTGCACTCCCCCGACACATGTGGGTAAAGAAAGGGATCATCTGCTGCTTACAACATCAAACAAAAGTCATAAATGGCAACCCAGAGACATATGAACAAGAAATGGTCAGTATAAGCAGTACCCTACAACATAACAACTACCCTGGGTACATGGCAACAGCTCCAACAAACTCAAGCAGAAGGGTACACCACTCTGAAAACAGCTTCAGTCTGCCTTCACTAATATTATGTAACTTCTTGTTCTATGTGCTGTGTCCCTTCAGGATATTTGTGATCATGACTCGCCACAATTTCCTACCTTTTGTAACACTTAGTAAATTTTGTCTTTATTTTTTCTCTCCTAAAAAATCTGTTCTGCCAACCATTTACACAAGCTCTTTTGGTAGGTTATTTGCTGCTTTCCTCTGTCCATCTTGTCTTCAGTATATCCTGTGAGTGTCAAATTCTCCAAACCTTCTTGGTAACTACAATTTCTATTATTTGAAAAGCATATGTGAACTTCTGTTGTAACCTAGGGAAGGTTACTGAATAGAATAATCACACGAAGGTTGGTAATGAACGATAATAATTAGGATAAGAAGAACACATATAAGATTCACCAACATTGCGTAGAAGAAGTAGTCAACTGTTAGAAGTGAATTCCACAACATATCTCCAACTGCAGGATATCTACCGACTGCCCTACGTGGTCAGATGTGGCACAAGGCTGAATTTAATGTGGGTTATCTGAGCCTGTAGGTTCGGCCAAAAATTCCGCATAAACCCCGTATAAAACTGGGTCAGGTAGCTGTTTCCTGAGATGAGACTCTGCCCTTTGACTTATCAATTTTTCTCTCATATTATTTCATACTCAGTAAACCTTAGCATTTTAGTGGCTTTATTATCTTGCTTGGGGTGAAATGATTAAAAAAAAGATTATATTTAATACTACATTCGCTGCAGATTTAAAAAATGTTTATACAACAAAAACTGATCTAAGATAAATGTAATTAAATTTATTTATATAATTCTTATAAAAAATTTAATCATATTTATTCACAATGATTATAGCCTAATGGAAGGGTAAATATTCAGTTACCTAATTAAAGAAATCTGGGTTTTTTTTCCCTGAAATAATGCTTGAAAGACTATTCACTTTAAATGTTCTGCCACTTATGAAATGTTCTAGTGATCAAAACAAATTAAAATTTATCCCTACTAAATTTGGTGAGTATTGAAGATGCAGAAGAATATCCTATTCTTACAATCTTATTTTTACTTGCGTTTACTTTGCAGAGTGTGACTTTGCATTGACTTATTGTAGAATAACATCTTTCTGTTAATAAAAAAGGACACTTTAGATGTAATGCTCCTTTTACTCAATCAAGTTGTTAGCAAAAATGTCTACAACAATGGTACTTCTGTGTTCCTGTAACTTATAATGGACAACACCTTTCATTTGACAACAGATTCATATGCAAAATTTATTTTTCATCACCTGTAATAATGCAATGAAAAATGAAAGATTACTATTCATGACTAAACGACTTTTACAGATGATGGATCATTATGTTCAGTTTCCAAATGAAAGCTCAAGAAGAACCCAAATTCCCCCTTTTTTCCAGGTTTTCCCAATTAAATGCATTATGACGGGCATACTATCAGATAGAAGTGATATTAAAGTAATTCTATCAGGTCATCCCATAAGTTCTGTCCGAATTTTAACTTTTTGTTAAAATGAAAGAAATTTAAAGAGTATTTTATAATGCCTAATGGACATTATTTTTATGTTTAGATGCATTTAAACTGATTAAATTTTATTTCAGAGAACAATAAAATTAAATTTTGTTTGATTAAAACCCTGCTAACATGGAAGTACCCAAGAATCATTTGAGGAATATAATGCTTTATGAGTTCAAGAAAGGAAACTCAGCAGCCGAAGCTGCTAGAAACATTCACTCAGTTTATGCAGAGGAATGTGTGAATGAGAGAACTTGCAGAAGATGGTTTGCAAAATTCAGAGGTGGAAATTTCACCCTTGAAGATGAAGATCAAACCGGACGTCCTGTTGAGTTTGATGAAAAGCTTCTTGAAGCAGCCCTTGAAGAAAATCCTGCTTTATCAGTTGAGGAATTGGCAGTGGTTCTCAGTTCAAACCATCAGTTCATCGTCATCTTCAACAACTTGGAAAAGTTCCTAAACTTGGAAAATGGGTGCCTCATGAATTGTCTGAAAACAACCTCAAATCCCGAGTTGACATCTGCTCTTCTCTCTATTCTCGCCAACTTGTTTCATCTTTTTTGGATAGACTTGTGACTAGTGACGAAAAATGGATCTTTTATTGAAATGAATCTTTTATTGAAATGTTAAGACAGTGGCTTGGTAAAGGGGAAGGGCCCCAGCCACAGCCGAGAAGGGAACTTCATGGGCAAAAGGTTCTTCTTTCAATCTGGTGGGATCGCCAAGGAATAATTTACTTTGAATTCTTACCACCTAATGCAACAATTAATGCTCAAATATACTGTCAGCAATTAGAGCATTTGAACCAAGCTTTGAGAAAAAAAAAGACCTGCTCTAGTGAATTGAAAAGAGGTGATGTTTCATCAGGACAATGCACGACCCCATACAGCAAGAATCAACTCACAAAAGATCGAAGAACTTGGTTGGGAGAAAATTCCTCATCCACCTTATTCTCCCAATCTTGCTCCTTCAGACTACCATTTGTTTCGTAGCTTAGAGAATCATTTGGAAGAAACAGCTTTTGTAAACACAGGAAGAGTTAAAACTGACATTTGTGAGTTCTTGAATAAAAGCCAAAAGAATTTTACAGTAATGGAATTAGTAAGCTTGTTAATAGATGGAAGGAAGTCATAGATAATCAGAGAAAATACATTGTTGATTGAATCTGTAATTAAATGTGACATTTGGTCACTTGTTTTCTTTATTCAAAATTCGGACAGAACTTATGGGATGACCTGACAGACACAGTTTCCTACCATTCAACCTTGGTCCTACCTTAGTTGGTTGAATCATAAACTCAGAGTGGTGAAATATGTAATAACATTCCAAACACCCTAATAGATTATTTTAATAATCAAAGACTAATTAACTGTAATACACAGAGATAATTAATTTCCTGGATATTGTATCTCAGAATTAATATTTAATTAACTTACTTTTAATTTTTAAGAAAGCTTTCAAAAGTTAGATAAGAGGTTATTAAAATATGAATTTACTGAGATGAGTTCACTTGGACATAAATAAGGCACTGAGGGATGACCAGTGAGATTAGTTTTTTAACCATTACTGTGTGGCTAGCATTCAAGGTATTGGCAAACTGAAAAAGTAAGAAAAAGAGAAAAAAATTAACTGACCATAAAATCTGTGAAGGAAAAAAAAATTCAACTTTTAATACATCTGCTGCTAATGGGTATAGAAGCAAGTTTTAAGAATTTTGTCAAATTTCTCATGTTGTTATTTATTTAACTGTCTTTCTAAAAGTTTGTTCTGGGTGAAAAATGCTTCCAGGGGTCAGAGGTCTTTTTTTGTTTGTTTGCTTTTTCTTCTTTTGTTTTGGACTGGGTGAGGCACATCTTTCACCTCTCAGACACAGTTTCTGGAATTTAGTTTTTGACAGTGTTTGTTTTGATTAAAGACTAAAGGCTATTTTTGCATTGCGTTTTCTTTATTTTTAGAATAGGACAATCTTCTAAGTCTTTCCTTTTCATTTTACAGACATTTGGATTCTGTTTTTGTTGTTGGTTTTGCTACATTTGTTAGAACTTTTTTTCTTGCTGACAATTATCATGCAAGGTGGGCGCTTTTGATTATCTTTTGAAAAAAGAAAATATGATTTGCTGATAGGATTAATAATCTGCATAATTTTACAACAGCATCATCATGTTCACAGTCATGACCATCATTAACATCTTTAATCCTCAACATCAGGATCATCATTAACCCTGAAACCATCACAATCTGAAGCTATCAGAATCATACTTGTAAAATCGTCTAAATATATTTGATTACATGCCAGTTGAAAGACAAACATTTAAAATGAGTGAATGATTAAGCTGGAAAAAAAAAGTAAAATAAGTTGTGTTAGGAGAAGACATGGTGAAAGTGAATGAAGTGAAGTTAAGCAAATATACAGAAAGATGTTAAAGAAAAATGAATGAAAGTGTATGCAGCAAAAGGAAGAGAATAACAGGAAAGTAACAAGAGAGAATGAAGTGAAAGAGAATGAAGTAAAAGAAAGAAAACCACATTAATGAGAATAAAATGAATGAAGTGAAAGAGAATACTTTGAAGGAGAATAAATTAAAATTAAAAGAATGAATGGCAAAATAAATAAATAGTTTAAATGAAAGGAGAAAATGAAAGTGAGATTTAATGATATGTGATAAAATGAGAGCAAGTGAATGAATTAAAGAAAAACAAAGAGAATGAAGTAACAAGAATAAAGTGAGAGGGAAAGAATGAAATGAACAGAAGGGAATGAAGTGAAAGAAGAAGGGAAAAAGAAGAAGAAACAATGACAGTTAAAAAAAATTTTAGTAACAAAATTAGTAGCATTCATAAATATTTAAAAGAAAGAATGAGAAATAAAAAAAAATGTATGTTATAACATATGAAAGAATAAAGGAAATAAAATGTAAAAAAGAAAGAATGTAGAATAAAAAGTAAGAAAGACTGAATGAAAATAAAATGAATGACTCAAAAGAAATTAAAAAAAGAAATAATTACTGAAAGACAGTAAAAAGAAAAAAATAAATGAATGAATTTTAGAAAATAAAAAAGAACAAAAGAATGAATGAAAGAGAATAAAAACAAATAAAGAATGAATGAATGAAAATTAATAGAGAAAAAAGAAAGAATTATAAGAGATGCAAAAATAAAGAAAACTAGTGAAAAAAAAAACAGGTAAAAAAAGTCTGAAGAGAAGAGTGCTGTTTTTCCACAAAGGTTCTTAAGGAATGCTTAGTAAGTGGTTATTGTGATAGAGAAGTATTGTTAGAAAGTCAGGAGGGGAATATCAAGCATATGTCAAAAGAGAAAAAGAAGGAATAATAGTAACAGAAACAGAGAGAAAGAAAAAAGAAGAGGAAAGCAAAAAGAAAAAAAGAGAAATATAAAGGAAAACAAAGACAAGGAAGATGAAAATAAAAGAGAATGAAAAGAAAAAATAAGAGAAACAGAGAAGAAAAAGAAGAGAGTAAATAAAAAGAAAGAGAGAAAGTGAGAATAAAAGTAAGTTGTTCAGATAAGAATATAGTGCATGTGTTTGACATGTGTGGAAGGAATAGTTATATTAAGGTTGCTGGGCAGTAGACAAAGAATATGGCAACTTGTCGTGGACATTGGCATGGTGATGACACGGATACAGTGGACAGTGGATTTGATGTAATTGTTAGGAATTTAAAACAGAGTGATGCTGATATAGCATAGAAAAACGTGCAGACCTTAAGTAAACACTGTTTAAAAATAGAAACCTATAAATAACAAGGTAATTTATTATTATAAGTACCTATCTATCTGAGTTTTCATATCTATCTATCTATCTATCTGAGTTTTCATATCTATCTATCTGAGTTTTCATATCTATCTATCTATCTATCTGAGTTTTCATATCTATCTATCTATCTATCTATCTCAGTTTTCATATCTATCTATCTATCTATCTATCTCAGTTTTCCTATCTATCTATCTATCTCAGTTTTCATATCTATCTTTCTATCTATTTTTCATCTCTATGTTTTCATATCTATCTATCTCAGTTTTCATATATCTATCTATGTTTTCATATCTATCTCAGTTTTCATATCTATCTATGTTTTCATATCTATCTATGTTTTCATATCTATCTATCTATCTATGTTTTCATATCTATCTATCTTTTCATATCTAACTATCTATCTTTTCATATCTATCTATCTATGTTTTCATATCTATCTATGTTTTCATATCTATCTATCTTTTCATATCTATCTATCTTTTCATATCTATCTATCTATCTTTTCATATCTATCTATCTATGTTTTCATTTCTATCTATCTATGTTATCTTTCTATCTATCTATTTATCTTTTCATATCTATCTATTTATCTTTTCATATCTATCTATCTATGTTTTCATATCTATCTATCTATTTATCTTTTCATATCTATCTATTTATCTTTTCATATCTATCTATCTATCTATCTATCTCAGTTTTCATATCTATCTATCTCAGTTTTCATATCTATCTATCTATCTATCTCAGTCATTTCATATCTATCATTTTCAGTCATTTCATATCTATCTATCTTATTATACATATAGTTACAAATGATGCAGATGACACAGTGTTAATAGCAGAGGTAGACAAAGAAAGAAAACTACAAGAACTTCTAAAGAAGGCAATGAAGAAAAGAGAGAAGAAAGGACTAAACATCAATTGCAAGATGACAGAATGCATAATTGTTAGCAAATGGAACAGACCAACATGCAAATTGGTGATACCAAAATAAAATAAGTACAACAATTTAAATATCTGGGAAGTATTTTAACATAGGATGGGAAGTGTGGCCTTGAAATCTGAAGGCATATTGGGATAGTGAAAGTTGCCTCCCAAAAGCTGAGCAAAGTATTAAGAAACAGAATAATTTTGGTACAAACGAAGAAAAGAGTAATGAACTATTATATCATAACAGTCCTCATATATGGCAGTGAATGCTGAACAATCTCCTCAGAGATTAAGAAGAGACTTGAAGCAACAGAAATGTGATAACGCAGAAGGATGATGAGGATTCCAGGGATCAAATATATGAAAACAAAAGGATGATGAAAAAGTTAGAAATTCCTAGGGAAATCAAATATTTTGCCAGACTTTCATTTTTTATCTACTTTAAAAGACTAAAAATATGGGTTGTTGGTGTGAAAGTTCACTTTTGATTAACATCAAGAAAAGTTAGAACTTGTGACAATTTCTAAAAAATGACAAGGAGTCCAAAATACTGAAATCATTTTCTAAGCCAGACTTTCATTTTTTTATCTACTTTAAAAAAGACTAAAAATATGGGTTGTTGGTGTTTTGAAAGTTCAGACCTCAAAACTTATCATAAAACATAACATCATCTTATATATATCATGGGACTCAGTTAGATCAACATAATGTAATTTGGATACTAAAGCTACTTTCATATGAGTTTGTGGGCATGAATGGAAAGTGTTTTTAGTGTGAGTCTCCAGAACTGGTCAGCCAATCTAACAGTGATCTCATCTCACAATCCTCACACATATGACAAATCATACATAAAAAATGACAAGAATAAGCTGTCAGATCCCCTCACACCTCCAGTATATATATATATATATATATATATATATATATATATATATATATATGGCTCTCCTACAATAACTGTTAAGCAACATCAAGTTTGGTTAGTGTGTGTGTGTGTGTGTGTGTGTGTGGATGTTTTGGAACTGGAACTCTCCGATTTCTGATAGATGCAAATTTCTTGTTTCTATTCAAAAATTTAAATGCAACATGAAACACCATCTTCTGTCTTCCTGAATCCTGTTCTTTTATTGTCCTTTCTTCTTGCTTCTCATTTCTATAAACTCTCTAAAACCTCTGTTTCCAAGTGATATTATCACCTTGCCTGGGGTGTGCTATTGATAGCTTATGTAGCAACTCCTTTATGTCACACTGTCAATAAATTCTTACCACCATTTGTGGAGCATCTAAAAGACCCTGACTATGACCATATAGCTCTCATAGAATGATTTACAAACTATAAACATTATACCATATATTCATTGAAACACAAAATTTCCACACACACACACGTTAATGTATTTGTCTATTGTAAATTCTTTTGCTGTTTTATACACATATTTGTTTGTACATATATATTGGTTTTTGTTGGTTTCTTTTATATTTCTTTTGGTCATTCTCCGAGTCTGCCATATTTGTTGTGGGTAATTTTTCCAGGGGTACACACGTGTTTCATTTCACAATGCATATGTACACAAACATGGCCCGCAACAACACTTTGTTCAAAGCCTTTGAGATATCTTGAGCAATTGCTCTTGTGATGAATTTATTTTGTATATGATCTGTGGAATAAAATCTTGGAGTGACTCTTATCTCTTTGCCATACAAAGATGAATATCAGCATGAGAAGGATTTGCCTGAATTAATTCTTAGAACAATTGGGTTGTGCTTGCTGACTTTTTAGGTGAGTAACCCAGTAAAATAGAGAATTTGCTATTTAACTGATGTTGGAAACAAAATATTCATTTATATGGGACAAAACATTTGGACATTGTATCATCCTCCTATATGGCTGTTTATGCTGAACAATCTCCTCATGTGACTTGAAGCAACAGAATCCACACAGATAAAACATACTGATTGACAAAAATCTCCTTTTAAGGTATAAGCATAAAATACAAGAAAACAATTAGATCAGGTCATCAGTAAATGAATGAGCCCAAAATACGTTTTCACAAGTCAGGAACACAAGAATCAACCAGATGTATTTAAATATCTGGGAAGCTGACAGAGGGCAGTAAATGCAACATTGAGATCCATAGACATATTGGGATGGCCAGGATGCATTCAAAAAGCTGGGCAAGTTTCTTTGATAACAAAAGAAAAGAATACTGAGCTGTTACATGACATCTGTCTTCCTTTATGGCAGCAAATGTTGGATGGTCTCCTCAAAGATGAAGAGACTCGAGGCAACAGAGATGTGGTTCTACAGAAGGATGCTGGGGATATCATGGACCGAGCGTGTGAACAACAAAGAGGTCTTAGAGAGGATGCAAACAAGGAGGCTTATACTTAATATCAGGAAGAGGCAGCTGGAGTTTCTGGGACATGTAATGAGAAAGGAGGGCCTGGAGAATCTGATACTCACAGGTAAAATAGAGGGAAAGAGAGACAAGGGAAAACAATGCATGACATACCTAACGGGCATAAGCAAGTGGATAACAGAACATGGTCTGGGAGAGGTGGCAGAGGGATGGAACTTGTTGAGAGCTTCCCCACCTATGTAAAGGCCACAGCACATAAAAAGAAAAATGTTCTATAGAAGGATGCTGAGAATACTATAGCCCAGTGGTTCTCAAATACCAGGTGCAGACCAGTATTGGGCCATGGACCATTTGGTACCGGGTCACACAGAAAGAATAAGACCTTATTTTTTTTCCATTTTATTGACTATCGCGGTCTTGTTTATTGTGTTTTGTTATGCATGTAACCAACACCACTAGAGGAAAACAACGCATAATTTGCCTAGCGAGCTTGATTAAATAGATGGAAGAACAGAGTCTTTAGGAGAAATAACAAAAAGACAAAATTTATCAAGAGCGATAGAGAACAGGAAATTGTGGAGAGCCATGATCACCAAAGTCCTGAAGGGACTTGTCACATAGAAGAAGTTAGCTTATTACCTTAAAAGAGGCAAACACAGGTATGTTTTAGAAATTCACCACATGTAAAGCATATTTTCATATATCACTGATATAGACAAACAATCACTTACACACAAATATACACATACAGTCAGTTAGTTATGTGCCATGCATCATACACACATAGGCGATCATGCATCTTTCAATACATGACTGATGAAGCAGATATTTTCCTGGAGCTGGTTGCCATTTCTTTCTGCAGTAGACCAGCTGCCATCCAAGGCTATAGAACCCTGTTTGTCCTGCTATTTACCCATAGCTGGAGGGAGAAGAAGAGGATTCATACCTTTCCCAAGAGTATTAGCACATAAGTGAATGTAATGGATTCGACTGGAATTCAAACTTGACTCTCCGATTCCTCAATCCAAGCCGCTATCCATTACTCCACTGTGCACAGTACTATTTTATATATAACCATAATTCAAAAAACTTTACACAAATATAATTGAAGAAAGTTTTAAAACAGAATTCTTTCTTTTTACAGCTTGCAAGAAAAAGATCTTCTATATCCCAACTGCTATTAAAACATTTATTTCACATTTGTTTAAATAAGTTTTTATTAATTTAGTTTTAAAAATTACATCTTCCAAATGGTGGCCTCTATTCACCATACACTGTTGTAGATGATTTATAAAGTTTTCCATGACTTGGAAGTTTGAGCGTTTTGAGGTCTTCCAGGTGGCTTTCTTTTAAGGACTGAACCTGTGAACCTGAAATTTTCAACCCATAGCAGAATCGATTTTCTATCCGGAATAGCATTACTCTGACGTAACATGAAACGAGCACAAAAATCGCTCTGTCTTGCAATTAGAGATATGCCAGTTTTAAAAAATGTTTTAACAGTGTATGCATAGTGTGCACCATCTTTAAGCCATGATGCAAACTGATAAAAAATGGTAAAATGTTAGCTAGACGAAAACACCATTGCCATTTGCTTTATTTCACACTGATGACAGTTTAACATAGTATTACAACCACATCTTGTATGTTTCAATACCTTTCAGGATGTGTGCAATCATAGCTTGCCACAACTTCATGTTTTTTGTTACTCTAAGTTTTAACCATTTGCCATCCTTCATTGTAACCATTCTGCTATTCATTCAGAGAAACTTGTTATGTAGGTCACTGACTGCTTACCCTACTTCTCTTGCCCTCATGAGTTTTCAATTCTATAGGCCTTCTTTTCTCATCATGTGACAGAACTTTCAATGTTTCTTTCTGATTATAAGTATGACTTTCTCTGTAGTTTATATTTACCTCAAGATTTCCTCATTGTTCATATGTTCTGTGCATGGGATTCTTAGCATTCTTAAATAGGATGACATCTCTGTTGTTTCAAATCTCTTCTTTATCTGGGAAAACTTGCACATTGCATGCCATATAACATTCAATACTATATAGGATATTAGATATTGCATAGTATTTCAACAGTATTTTCTTTGTTTCTCCTGTCTTAATACTTTGCTTAGTTTCTAGAAGACATTTTTTGCTATTCCTATGCCCCTTCAGATTCCATTTGTAGAATTATGGGTGAATATGAAAATTACAGCCTCCATCAGACAAACAGACTATTTTGAGAAAATTCTGTTTATGTTGAGGATTTTCTTTTAAAATCATCTTAAGTAATTAAGAAAAAATGTTTTAGGGTTGAAAATTTGAATCTTAATTGGGTGATTGGCGGAAAACAATTTTCCTACTGACAGTTTCCCGCCACTTAGCCTTTTATGCCTTTGGTAAAAATAAATAACACACACACACACACACGGGTGCATGCAGAGATCTGTAAGATAAAAATAATACAATATATAGGACGAATAAGTAAATTTTCCCGACGTATGATGTTATTTCTGTAGAGTTTTACACATGTAATTTATCAAACTCGCTAATTAATAAATGAAAACACACGTAAACAAAGCCCGAAAAAAGCGTACGTACCAATGTGTTTGCTTGTCTGTTCATAAGTACCCGTCAATTTCTTGTTGCTGCCATTTACCGTAATAATATCAAAAAGTTGGTCAGGTGAAATGTTCGCTGTTGGGAATGAGACGAGGCGAGTAAAAGGGGAGTGAGTTTTTTTGGTTGCGGAAGGCAAGGAACCGGTGATGAGAATTTTATAATGTAAATAAAATAAGTACTGGTTGATGGCGGGGGGGGGGGGTATTCAAGCAGTTTGTGGGTGTGTAAAGGAGGGAGAGGGAGAATTATTTTCAGATGGTCTGCACACTTTTTCCCTCTCCCTCCCAAGCATTCAAATGAAGAAAACGGTAGAGAGAGATAAAATAAAATGAAATAAAAAAAATGGCGTAATGAATAAAAAAAATATAAGAAAAAAAAAGTAAAACAGAAATAATAAAAAAAGATAACAGAAAAGAAAGAAGACACGGAAGTGTGAGAAACAAACAAAAAAAGGTAAGAGAAAAGAAATAAAAATAAAAGAAGGCGAGAGAAAAAGAGAGGCAAGGGTGGAAATAAAAAAAGAATAAAGAAAGTGTATATGAGTAGAACGTGGCAAGAAAGAACAGAAATTAAAAGCAGAGAGAAAGATATAGAGAGAGAACAAAACAATAAAATGAGAAAACTTAAAACTAAATAAAAGAAACGGTAGGAAAGATAAAATGAAACTTTTTTTGTTTTAAGAAAAATAACAATAGTGTAATTAATGAAAGAAAAAAAAAATAAACAGAAAGAATGACCAACATTGAAAACATATAAAAAAAAAATATCTAAGTTGAATAAAGAAAAGGAAAAGGCATAAAATTAAATCCCTTTTTTTTTTTAAATAAATTTTATCTTCTGAGCGTTCCTGGCTCTCAATAACTTCCTGTCTTTCGTACTTTCATTATTGGGCAGGAAGGAAAAAGAAAGAAATTATGAAGGAAGAAACAAAAGAAAGAGAGAGAGAAAGAAAAAAAGTAAAACAAAAAGAATAATACAATCAGTTCACGTGCGTGGGTGAGAAACGAAAATTGAGGGAAACGAAAGAAAGAAAGAAAGAAAGAAAGAAAAAGAAAACGGGGCGAAAAGGGAAGAAGGGTCTAAGAAGAGTATGCTTGAAAAGAAATCAGGTTAGAGACCAAGTGCTTCCATCAATGTTTACAGCCTTAGCAACGGTCTGTACCTACGTCACTAGTTATACGGATCTAACGTCATCAGTCCACCTCCACCCTTCTTGTGAGAAAATGCAGCCACAACTCAACAACAACAACAATAATAAACCCATTTTTTTCTCCTTAAATCACCAGAATCGTTTTCACTGTAACCACTGGTGCCTTTCTATCACTAACTGACGACAAGGTTCAAAATGGCGGGAGGTCCTCTAGCAACAACATGTTCTTTCGCTCCCTGTCGTTGCCAATATGTCGATGAGTGGACGGGGTGGGTTTAGCAAAGTTATCAAGACGATGGAGACCATACTAACGTCATTGGTGATGACAAGCGCTCACGTTGGCAACCGGCCATCGTGCAGTAACTGGTACCAACGCCAACATCATTGTCATCATATTGTCATGGCCGTCATCGTACTCCCCAGAGTCCCATTTCTAAGAAGGACAAAGGAGAAGATAAGGGTAGGGTTTGTTTGGAAACTATCATTGCCATTATCAACATTGTGGGTGAGTTGGCATTAAGAAAAAGTATCATTATTGTCGACATTATTATCAACATTATAATGATCACTTCTTCTATGTACCATTTCCCTTGCTGGCGTGGACGATCATGGCCCTCCACAATTTCCTGTTCAACCTTTAGCAACGTTTGCCAAGCTTTATATATCAGCTTGAAACGAGAAATAAGAGTACTGGGTTTGAATTCCAGCCAGGTTTATTACATTCATTTACATGCAAATACCTTCAGGGAACAGTATGAATTCATTTCCTCCTCCCAGCTATGGGTTAAAGTGCAGGACTTGTATCTGGAAAAATCATTGTTATGCTCACAAAAAAAAAAATTATTACAATCCAAAAAATGTTTCAGGTTTAAAATTCCACAAAGGGTTGATAAACCTTAAAAAACAAATCAATCAAATTTGTCAAGTCTCTAACCGCCTGTTCTACTATCCATTCAAACAAGTTTGTTAGATGTGGACCACTGTCTTCCTTTGACACTTTTGCCTTTATTTCCTGTGGGTGTCAAAATTTCCAAGCCCCCTTTCCTCATTATGGGTCAAATTTCAGCTGTCTCTTTCTGATTCTGAGTATCCGTGTTTATTTTTGCTATCATTTTATTTTATTTCTTTTAACTGATATCACCCCATGCAAGGCAGTAAAGTCACTAAGACACAAGGGGGTTACAGAGTGTGGAAGAAGTAGGGATAGAAACATTAATGATGAGCAGAAAGAGAAAAGAGTAATTAGGAGGACAGTAGACAGCAATTGACATACAATTAAATTTTTACAGATTAAAGTTGGCTGAAAAGCATGGAGCAGGAGGAGAGTTCCACTAGTGAGAAGTGCGAGAAAAGAATCCTTTTAGCATAGAATTTACATCTACATCTAGCTAACTGTGAATTTATGAGATCTTGATGCCAATCTAGTACAGTGCTTAAATTATGGTATTCTCAGCATCCTTCTGTAGAATCCCATGTCTGCTGCCTCAATACTCCTCTTCATCTGTGAGGAGAATGTCCAGCATTCACTGCCATATAAGGTGATTGATATTATCTAACAGTTCTGTACTATTTTCTTTGTTTCTAACAAACTTTTCCTGTTTCTGTGTACTTCCATTAACTTTTGGAATGCATTTTTGCTCTACTACTTTATAAATATACAATATTATCAACATTATTGTTATCACTGCTATTGCATCTTTATAAATACAAAATAAGTCTAAATATCTTGGTAGTCATACTAATCCTTATTCATCATCATTATTCAAACATATTTCCCAATTGCCACTATAACAATTACCATCAACCAACTCTAAGGACAATTATAGCCCTGCCATCAAAATCAACACCACCCTATCACCTATTACCATTGTTGTAGTAAATTTTAGATAATAGGATAGTAGTATTAATCTTTTTTTTTGCCATAATCTTCACCCTGTACAAGGCTTGAAGGCCACTTAAGTTAGAGGTTTACAGAGTAAAAGGCACAGTTTGTTATGATAGGTATTTTTTCCCATAGTTATAGCGATACTGCCTTTTATACAGTACCTAATTTACATATCACTACTCCTCCCTGAACCTAAGAGGATTTATACCTTTAATCGATCTTTGACTTCTGCGAACAACCCTTGGAGACATCATTGTTTCTCAGAGTGATTCTCTTTATTCCTTTTTATAGGAGATCTAGGTCTTAGCTGATTCTCTTTATTTGAACCTTCATGATACCACCAGTAACTCTTATTCCTAGATTGTCCATCACTTCTACTGAATACACTCATTCTCTCCTCCCTCTCTTGTTCTTCACTTTCATATCTCTGGTGGTCTTCCTGATCACTCTCAATACTGGTTTCATTCATCCTTTCTTGTGTTGGCTATTCTTCTGATTTCTCTTTTTCCTCCTTTTCCATAAGTTCCTGCTCTCTTGTGGTTCTAAATTGGTCTTCCTGAGCCGGTATGCCCTCTCCATGTTATGTTAAAGCCCTTTTGCACTACAAAATTCGTCTTTTCAGAACTAGAATCCTTGTCCTTTTTGTACCACACACTTTCATTTGTTCCAAATGACATGGTAATCAAAGATTTTATTTGTCTTTCCATCAATGTGCATGAGCTTTGTCTTCTGTCTGTATGTGGAATAGCTCTATAACTTAGGAGTAGTCTGGATAAAGAATTCTATATCACAATCCACTCAAGAGAATGCTTTTAATCTTATTTTTACCATTTGAGCCATTCTTTCTGCAATTCCACTTGATTGTGGTAAGGTGGTGTTTTGCATGGAATGCAGCCAATACATTTTAAGTATACACATAAACTTCCTTCACAAAATTCAAGTGTTTTGTTGGAGACCAAGTTTTTTGGAACTCCATTTCTCAAAAACGATATCCTCAAAACCCACTTCACAATAGTGGCTTTTCTATCCATGACTTTAATAACTTCAAGCTAAGCAATATATGAGTTGACTAATATCAGAAATAGTTTTATACCTTTAATGTAAGCATGATTCATATGTACTCATGTCCATGGCTCCATTTCCTTTGGACAAGAATGAATTTTAGTTTGCTTAAATTTCTTTATTTCTGCATATTTGAGAATTTTTTAACATGCTCTTCCACATATCTCTTGAATAGCTTGGCCACCAACTTTAACCTCATTTGCGTAGCCAATATACCTACATGTATATCATTGTGTGCAGCTTTAATTACTTATTTTCTCAGAGACGGTGGCAGTACTATGATGTCTCTATTAATTTCTTTTCTATTGTTAATTTGTGTTTTGACTCTTTATAAGGCCTCTCAGCCATAGAGTAATTACTTCATGTATTTCTCTTTATTCTATCCATAATTCCATTCAACACTGCCTAGTTTCCAACCTAAACCAATTTAAGGGCAATACTTAAGTTTCTATCCATTGCAAAATCCTATCCTCACAATTTTTACTTGCTTCAACATTTTTACTCTCCATATTTAACTGAGATAATGCATCCACATGCGGAATAGTATTTCCTTTAGTATATACAATGTCAAATTCAAAGACTATAAGCTTACTAGTCCATCTTAATATCTTGGCAGATGTGACCTTTGGCAACCCTTTCTGGGGTTGAATATAAATTCCAAAGGATTATGATCAGATTTTAAAAGAAATTTCCTTCCCAGCAAAATATTTCTAGCTCTTTCCATACTACACACAATTGCCAATGCCTCTTTCTCAATAGTCAAATAATTCACCTCCACTGATGTTAGTTTTCTAGATAAGTACATTACAGGGTGATCCTCCTGTGACAATATTGTGGCTATAGCACAGTCACTGGCATCTGTAGTTGATGTTAATTCTTTTGCTGAGTCGAAAATTTTAACAACTGCTTTGTTTATGAGTGCCTTTTTTAATTTCACAAAAGTGATCTCCTGTCTTTTTGTCCATTGAAACTCAGTATTCTTCTTCCTTATTTTGTTAAATGGCTCCACAAGGTCACTATATCATGGTAGATATCTGCTATAGAAATTAATTAATTGTAAAAAGGAATCTAACTCATTTTTATTTTTGAGTGCAGCTATCTCTGACATCTTATTAATGAGTTTATCATCCAGTAATATAACGTCTTCGGATATTTGACATCCTAGGTATGAAATTTTTTTACAATTAAACTTTTATTTATCACCATTAATTGTCATACTCGCACAATTTAATTTTCTCAAAACTTACTTCATTTTACTTTTGACCTTTTCTTTACTGCATGCACCAATGCCAATATCATCCTGATATACAATTATATTTTTAATACCCTTTAAAACTTTTGTGATGACTTTTTGGAAAATGTGACTTGCCATTTTTACTTCAAATAGTAGACAAGTCCATCTTAGTAATCCAATAAGGGTGTCTGTTGTGGTGACTTCTTGAAACTTGCTCTCAATTTTTTATCTGATTATATGCTGACTTAAGGTCAACTTTAAGAAAGTCACCCTGGCTGACTTTTTATAATATTCCTTGTTCCACCATTTTGTTCAGCTTGTCAGCAACTAAGAGTAGCATGTGAACAGGAACATTTCGGGCTTGAAAATGTATGAGTTGACTGCTTTCTTTAAGCTGAATACTTGTCTCATATCCTCTTAATAATCCAATATCCGGTTATACAGACATTATGGAATTTACCAGCTTCAATGTATCCACTCTTAACACATCAATTCCTAAAAGACCGATGCTTTGATACTTTGCTATCACTATAACAAGTATTATCTTGAATGTATTTTTTGTCTCAAACGTGCCTTCAAAGCATCTTGAAATTTTGACGATTTACCCATCGAACGGTTTCAACTAGAGATTAATTTTCTTTAACTTTGGTCTGACTATTCTTTCCCCAAAACTCCTCAGTATCAGCATAATATCACTTCCATTATCCACCTGCATGACCATTTCACCATTTCCCTATTTTCATCTTGCACTTTTATCTCAAATAACTTCCATACTTTCAATCAGGGGACCTATATTTTCAACTTTTCCCACTTGCTTTTCATATGTGCATACCATTTGGAAATAATTCTTCTTTTTACACTTAAAACACCATTTCCCAAATGCTACTTATTTTTGCTCTTTTCATGTTCCTTATTGCAATATCTGCATATAAGTAAGCTTTTATTAGCTCTGTAAGGTGCCATGCTGCCTTTGGAGGTGTTAAATTTTTGAATCAATTTCAATTGTTGTAAAGACTTCAAACATGCTTCCAGATTCATGTTGTGAGCTTGAAGTCATTTTAGAATTTTATGTTTGTATGGGATGTCAAACATGCCTTCAGACAGTCTTAGCAAAATTAGCTTATCTTTGATAGACATTTGTTCCAAAACCATTCTTTCAAACTCACAATATCTCTCCACTTCTTTCAATCACTGTACATAT